GGGGGGGAGTAGGTGCAAGAGAAAGGGAAAGAAGACCTCCCGTCGAGTACGTAAGAGAGAAACGTTTGTTGCGACCTAGATGAAGAGAGATACTAGTCACTCACTTACGGGTGGCATAAACCCCACAGTGCCCTTTACCGTGCAAGTCCTACGGGTTCCGTGGCCACTCGAGCGGGTCGTTCAGATCGCCCTGATACAGCGCTGTCGTGTGGTACGCCATATCCCAGTCCGCAACCTTGGGCCACTGGGTAGATGCGCGCCCACTCCATTGGCTCGTTCGGGTTGGGCGCCCCCAGGAAGATGTTGTCCGGCTTGATGTCGACGTGGCAGATGCGTTCCCACTCCAGATCCTTTTCGTCCGACAGCTGCCCGTTGAGGCAGATGACGGCGACCTTGGCCATGGCGAGGAAGACGTACCTGACAGGTTCCGGAAGTTAGCTGTGAGCTTTCATGTTACGAGGGGCTGGTTGTACACACCATATAAAAGGTTCTGGCACCATTATTTCGTGCCGGTAATAATGGTGTATTAGTGCGTAGAGATCGCCATGCGGCAACCACTCGAGCTCCATGTACACGATGCGCTTCGTCATCGGGCCACTTGTACTTGAAGTTATCCGACTGTTGTACCTGTCCGGGCGTAAAGGGTGACGCTTCTCAATCTGGTACTCGTAATATCGCTTCAGATCCAATGCCATTCCATTCCAACGGCCGATCAGAGTGTCCATGATTGTTGTCCCTATTGAGACAAGTTAGATGACCGAAACTGGATTAGACCATCTTATGACTTCCAGTTGCGTTTGTTCCACCTATTTCCAGTAGTGAACCCAAGCTCTTGAGCAACATCGTTGTATTCCTGGTTTGCATACACATTGAATGCATGATTCTCAGCTTTACGAGCAGTCTGCGTACGACGTCTAGGAGGCATTCTGCTAAGTGTCGATATACGTCCGTTCGCTAATAGTGCTTAGTGGGAGTGTGTTCTGCAGGTGACGGGACCCAAACATAGGAAAGAAGAAATACCGGTCGAATTCGCAACAAAAGCCACATGGTGCTGCGATGTAGCAACTTCCGCATGAGGAAAGGAACAAGGAGTATGCAAACACAACGTAACGTTTCCAAAGATTGCATTAAATTGGAAATACGTCGCAACCCGCTTGGAGGAATAAGAGGTACAAGGGAAAGAGCTTTAGAGAAACCGGATAGAAGTTGAGCAGACTGCATTAAATCCCAGGGCCATGACTCCATTACGAGCGTTGCGACTTCGTAGCGGCTAAAGACAGTCAAACAAAGGGCATCCGGGTACCTGGCCCAACCGTAACCATATTTTGCAGCTCTCTTTCACAAGAGCACTCGGCTCTCGCCATTACCCACCTCCTCGAACCGAACATCATCCAAAATCTTCTCATCCTCCTCCTCTTCCTCCTTGACCAGCCCCTCCTTCTCAACACGCAACGCCTCCTCCACACTAATAATCTTGCGCCTCAGGAACCAGTTGATCAGGCCACTCCCCCATTTCTCCTCATCGTGCGTGCCGATCCAGTACTTGGCATGGATGAGACGCTGCGCCTGTAACCCATTGAACCCGCCGAGATTGAGCTGCTGGAGGGGCTGCGGCGTTTTCGCCCACCACCTCTCCCACCAAAACCCAGCATTGATCGCCACGTCGTGCAAACCGTGTATCAACGCCAGCACCGACAGGTGCGGCGAGGCAGCGACGACGGGCCGCAACGCTTCGGGCCGTATGCCGTGAGGGGTGTATATGACGCACTCTGCGCCGTCCGAGTCGTCCGACGGCGGAATCCAGCCGTTCGGCAAGGCGCGCGCGGAGCGGGTGGTGGACCGCGTCGTCGAGGACGAGGGGATGACGAAGGAGAAGACGAGGGCGCTGTGGTACTGCAGGAAGTCGAAGCCTTCGACCAGGCGCGAGATGCTGAGCCACTCGGGCAGCGGCGGGATCGAGGCGTCGCGCCAGTCGGGGTGTCTGCGCGAGAAGACGGGCACCGTCGCGACGTGGTGGAAGTGATTCCACGAGCGGATCAGGTCGGCGGCACTCTAGAACAGGAGAGGAGTAACGGTATCGGCATAACCGTGTCACTTGACAAAAGCGTGAATGAGAAAGGTGAGTCTCACCTCTGTCGCGAACACCGGCACGAGGCGGTCGATTTCCAGCAACGTTCCCTTGTGGCAGTGATCGGTGAACTCGTGGGAGATGGCGACTGCATCAATGAAGGTTTGCGTGTCCGCGGCGGTGTCTGGGCCGTTTGGTTGTCTGTCTTTGCCTAGGCGCAGCCCGGAAGCCATGATCTCCACCTCGCGCGCCAGCTCTTCCACCTCGGCGATGGACTTGCATGCGCTCTCATAGCGGTGCCACTGCTGAGAAAACCACCGGGCGACGTCACTCTGGCCTCCAGACAACCACGGGTCGATCAAAACATTGTAGTATGCGCGGCCGCCTTTCCGCGTGGCGGCAACGGGACGCGGGATCTGGAGCAGCCAACTGGAGTCGGCGTTGATGTGATGTAAGAGGGGTCTGCGGTGGCATAACTGGCGCGTCACGGCATCGCGAACCTCCTGGTGGAGTTGCGCCGAGGAAGGATCCATGGTGGGTGCGGGCGCATGGCTTGTGGAAGTTTGTTGTTTGGCGTTGAACGGTGGCCCAAACATGGAGCTTCGGAGGAGCAATGGCCATGACGCAAGCGAAGCCACTCCCCGCTTGAGAGTGGCGACCACCCGTTCACCTGCATCGTTCATTTCATAGCCATAGGTTCCTCAGAGTTACACTTGTCTATTACACCAGGTCTAACTACTCATGCACTCAGCACTACGAGAAGCGCGACGTACAAAGCTCTCTCCTAGCTAGACTGACAACCGAAATATGTACTGTGAGTAATAGTATGTCGACAGAATTAGGGTGTTCGTCCCGGGAGCCCCAATGGTCCAAGGCGACAGAGATGACGCTCTGGCGATGACTCAATTCACCTCCATGAAAATGTCAGATGTCAATGAAGACATTCCAGCATGATACGTCGTTTCCGTCTGCATGCCGACCCCTTGAATCCATGAGCTTTCTCCAAAATGTCGAAAGGGCTTCCTTCTGCCGGTGAAAAGGTGAAAAGCTGCTCTTTGCAGAAGATTGAGAAGGAATGGGTATCATCGCCACCGTCCGGGAGAAGTCGCTGCGAGATCAGGTGAAGAAAAGAAGAAAAAAAAAAGGTCGGCATTGCCAAAGAGGATCGCAGCCAAAGATTTGAGTCTGCCAAACATCCTAGCCTAGACTACCGACAACATAACCACTTCTCTCCCCTTCTCAAAATCCCTCTCGCCCTCGCCCTCCTTTCACTCGCTTCCAGCCTCCGCCTCCGCGGATCGCCCCTCGGTCCATCTCGTCGGTCTCGACTTCTCTCGGTCCGTCCATTCGAATGGTAGTAGCCAAAAAAAGAAAAGGAGACAGGAGACAGGCCTGGGCGAGCGCCAATCGCTCGGTTCTGAGGTGTCATGTAGGGTTTGCAAATCATGGGGTATCGGGATTCGTCAAATAACTTTTTGTAAGCGGGTCGTTGCCATCGTTACGATGCCGGTGCCAAGTAGAAGGAAGAATGGCGACCTGAAGCGACAGTGGAAAGAAAACTTAAAACGTCGTGGTATAGAAGCGAAAGTAGAAACAGGTATGCGTGCGAGCAGCGAAGGCGCGTCTGCAGGCAGTGCTTCCTACGCCGGAGGGGGCCACCGCGCCCAAAGCCGCCCTGGCGCGATCCTCGTTTGCTGCTGTCACCGCTTAGGCGACAGCAGTGGTGGGAGCCGGGGGCTGGACAGGAGCCTGCTGGGGGGCGGGGATGCCATCACCGTTGATCTCGGCCTGGGGGCACTCGCGGGAGATGTGGCCAGCCTCGCCACAGCGGTAGCAGGTCTTGCCAGCGGTGTTGAGCGGGCCGCCATTGGGGGCGGTGCAGTCGCGCGAGATGTGGCCGAGCTTGCCGCAGGCGTAGCACTTCATGGCCTGAGCCTGGCAGTCGCGGGCAAAGTGGTTGGGGCCGCCGCACTTGTAGCAGGTCGCCGGGCGCGGGCCGCCAGCGAAACCGCCGCGGAAGCCACCGTAGCCACCGCGAGGAATGCCAGCGCCGCGGCCAACGCCGCCGGCGGGGTTGGGGCACGAGCGCGCAAGGTGTCCGGGCTGTCCGCAGGAATAGCAGCGGCCGCTGGTGCCGGCGCCGCTCAGGCGCAGAGTGGGGCAATCAGCCTGGACGTGGCCAAGGCCCTGGCAGTGGTAGCACTGCTTCGTCTCGGTGGTGCGCGGGTGGGGGCAGCCGTTGCTCTCGTGGCCTGGTGCTGGTGGTTAGTCGCCGGAGGGCGCGAGGGTCGGAGGCGGGGGTTCGCATACCGGGCTGCTTGCCTGCGCGTCGAGAGTCAGCGGGCGCGTCACTTTCGCGATGGGTCGTGGTCGAACTTACAGTTGTAGCAAAGGCGCTCAGACGACGAGCAGACCTCTGCGCTGGGTTAGCCGAAGCGGACAGCGGTCGCGATTGACGTGCGGTCCCACGTACCGGCGTAGTGGCCAACATTGCCACACTTGTAGCACGCACGACGCGATAGCGAAGACATCCTGCTTTCTTCCTCGTATAGCTGCGGGACCCCAGTGTCAGACATGCGTATGGAATAGGTGCGGTTGCCCGAGGTCCACATGGCGGGCGTTTGGCATGCTCAGCAGCATGCCGAGTCGCGATGATGATGGAGTGGAGAGGAGACGGGCGCGCGCCGTGTCTCAGAGCAGCGCCGGAGCGAGGAGTGTGGTGGTGACTGGGTGAGTACCTTCTGCTTGATTCCTGACTGCAAATCCTGCACCTGGCGAGAGAGTCAGCGCCTGGCGACAAAATTTGACGCCGCGGTCGAGCAGCGCGGGACCGGACGGGGACCGGCGGCTCAGGCTGACGGCTTGGGGAGGGGTGGGGACTCACTTCTCAGCGTTTCTCCTTCCTCGCGACAACAGCGTCTCTTCCGACACACGGATGGTGGACTCGAAGGGTTTTTGTAGTAGGGCGGGCAGATCCATTTTCAAGGAAAGCATCGGCGCGGCTGGCTGGGCCAGACGACGCACGGCCAGCAGCAGGCACGACTTGGCGACTAGCGCGCTGCTTAAGGGTCGGTCTCCGAGCGGCTTTTGTCGAGTGCAGCGAATGACGCCCGCGCCCCGCAGCCGGCCTGTGGCGCTCTCTAGCCGTATGCCTGCGAGCGGCGCGGGATAATACACTCCAGTGCCGCCCACGGAGATTGGCAGCGCTGTCCACGGCCTGTCGGATGCGAGGGAAATGGTGACGGTGCGGCCGATCGCGTGGCTATCGGCCAAGCTCGCCTTGGGCGTGACATGAAGAACAACTACCGTCTGCCGCCACGCGCAGGAAAATTGGCCTCCATCCGGGGCCCGGAGCTTGCCACCGCGATATGCAGAAAGGCACTCGTCACCGGCAGCCCTCTCCGTCACGTGTGCAGCAGGCCCGTTCCGCCGCCCGCTGCATCCTGCGCCCTGTCGCCATCCGCCGGCCTGGCTTGTCGAGCTGCTGCATCTGGCGGCGCCGGAACCGCGGTTCGTCCAAACGGAACCCTCCACGGTGCCTGGCGCATGCAGTCTGCATGGCCGGCCGGCCTGGTGACAGTTGACGCCTGACAGCCCACAACCCTTTTTCGCCCGTCTCCGTCCGCGCGGCGTTTTGCCTGGCGGATGGCCGGCTTACTGACCACGCTTGGGGCGCATACGAGACGCGCATCATCGAACGACTCAGCTCGCCTACAATCTCGGCTGTTGTTGGTGCCTTGGGAAGCGCCCACAGCAATAACACGCGCAGCAATCCCGGGGCTGCACTGCCGATCACGGATGGCAATCAAACGCGGAATGGGCGGAGGAAGACCCGGCGCATCAACTTTTATCAATTGCTCATCGGCCGTCGTCCAGCACCACGTGCTGCTTCTTTTTAATAACTGCTTGGTATAATCAAATGCGCGTGGAAGCCTCCACCTCGACGTCATCCGGAGATGATTCGGCTCTCTACTCCTCCTTCTCGATGACAGCGGGCGCCTTGATCGTGCGCTCCTTGAGGAAATCGAGACCCTCGCCGCCCTGGAGCTGGTCAGCATGAATGCACCGTGCATGGTCGTGGCTCGACTTACGTAGCTGATCAGCGGCGACACCTCGACGCCATCCTCAGCCTTCTCACTGACGACGACACCGCCCGCCGCCTGCACCCACTTCTTGCCCTGGTCCATGATGTCGCGCTTGCTGGTGTCGGGGTCGTCCTCGCCCGTGCCGCGCGCGTTCTTGAGCGGCGAGAACTCGTCCTCGCGCTTGACCTCCATGCACGCGAACTTGTCCATGGCCAGGAAGGGGAAGCAGTCGAACACGAACTGCTCCAGCTTGATGCCATTGGGCTTCTCCGGCTTGACCGTGTTGCCCGACTCGGTGTCGACAAAGGGGATCTTCTTGCGCGCGACGTGGTGCGGCAGCCTGTGCGACCACTGCGGGATGCTCTCGAGGAAGCGGAACGAGTAGTAGTGGTTGACGATGTTGGCTGCGCGGAACTTGAGCAGCTCCGAATTCGACGAGTCCTTGGCCTCGGACATCTCCTCGCTGATCTCCGAGTACTCGACGACGTCTGGCTTGCCGTTGCGCTGCATGATCAGACCCACCGACTCCTTGGCGTTGCGCTTGCGCACAACCTTGGTCGCAATCTCGACGTCCTTGGCGGCCGAGAAGCCGATGAAGGCGGGGTCGGCGACCCTGACCAGGCAGTTGTCGACGCAGTACGCGTGAACGTGCTGGATGCCGCGCTTGCTCATGTCCGACACGACGGACGCGGTGATGAGCGCCTGGTAGATACCACCGTTGCCGTCAGGGGCGACGGCCACCTTGGACTTGCTCTCGAGCAGGATCTTGCCGTCGTTCGAGATGCAGGGGAGGACGCCCTGCTCGAAGACGACGACGTTCGCCTTGTCCAGGCCAAAGTAGTTGTTCTCCTGGAAGAACTGCTCCGTCGGGCCACGCGTGGGGCCGCTGGTCATGACATACCAGGGAACGATGACCTCCGACTTGCCGTGCTTCTTCTTGGCCAGCTGCTGAACCTTCCAGATGCGCTCCGCCTGGAGCTGGAACAGCGACTTGTGGCTGGGCAGGCCAATGTCGTAGCAGCCCTTGGGAGCTGAGCTGCCCAGGCGAGTGCCCTGTCCACCGGCCATCAACACAACCGCCACCTTGTTCTCCGCGATCAGCTCGAGACCCGAGTCGTACCACTTGCTCAGGTCTTCATCTTTGGAGTCGAGGACGGAAGAGGTGGCCGAGGTCGGGAGTGGCTCGAACTTGGGGGTCTGGTCGTCGCTCTCGGTCTTGGGAGGGTTGAGGGCGCGGTCGGTGATCTTGTTGATGTGCTCGGGGTCAATGCCGGACAGCTGAGCGTAGAGGGTGCCCTTCTCAGAAGAGCTGAGCTGGTCCCAGAAGGCGAAGACCTGCTGCTGGCCGGCCTTCTCGTACTTCTGCTGCAGCTCCTTCACCTCTTCGGCCGTGGGCTCGCGCGGGGCAGCCTCCGAGCCGGAGCCGGTGATCTTGTTCGCGATGTCCTTGATGACGCCAGCCATTGTGAAGGTTGAGTGTGAGGACAGAGAGGGGTACAGAAAAGGCAACACAGGGATTGATGGATGGAAGGTGAGGGGAACTCAGCGAGCTTTAAGGAGGTAAGGGTGCGTGAAACGGCGAGAGCCCCACGATGGAGCAGCCGATGCGCTCATTGGAACTGCATCATTGGCTATTATTAGCTAGCGCCGCTCACCGCCCAAACAAGGGTCTGGCAGATCAGTCCCCGCCAACTGAGAGTCCAGCTCCGCCTGTTTCGAAACGGCCTGGCTCACGCACTTGATTGCTGGGCTGAGGAATGAACTTGGCATTTTGACATCTCGTCACTACTGTCTTTACTATCCCCAAGCCTGATGCGCATCCTCTATGCAAGAGAAAACCTGCGTCAGGCCCCCTATTCTGACCGCCTAGGCCCAATAAAGCACGGCCAATGTTGTGCGCCTCTTGGATCGCGGGGTCCTGCACAGCCACTGACGATGTGGCATTTTCCCTTGCAACGGTTGGACATCTACCCTTTCCAATTGCCGTGGCGTTCTGCACTTTATGGGTTGCTGAGTGCTTTGGGTGGAACACGAACGCCCAGCTGAACGTTGAGTGGCAGTTCATTCCGGGTATACGGTGGACCTTTATTTTGGCGTTCAACTTTCGGGCTGTGGCTCTTGTCAGCAAATGCCCTGTGAGCATGTTCGAGGATGCGAAAACTTACCCTGATCTTCCCTCTGCGGGCTCTCATGCGCTCGACCCTCTTTCTGTCCTCCTGGAATTCCCTCTTCAACCGCTCCGCGCTCTCCTTCTTCTTCTCCCGGGTCTGGAATCTGTAGAAATCCGCTGGCGGCTTCTGCCTCTCCTTCAGCTTCTCTGCCACAGCCTGCGCCTCCTCCAGTTTCGCAGGACCAGCGCGACCGCCCTTTGTAACCGTAATGAAACCATCGTCGTCTGGCACGTTCCGGGCTTGCTTGAGGGCCCTCGCCCGGGCTGCTTCCATAGTGGCCCATTGAGTAAGATAACCGTTGACTGTCGCCTGCAGAACGTCGCTGGAGGGGAACGTCAGTTCATGGTGTGTGCGGTATCCTTAGTGCATGTTAGCGCGCGGTCGTGAAGGATGATGCAGTATCGCAATTCATGGAGGAGACTCACTCTCCATGCCGAGGGGCATATCCGACGTCCACACAATCTCAGCCCTCTTCTTCGCAGCGCGAGTAACCTCCTTCATAGCCAGCTCCGCACTCGTCCTGTCCACGAACACCAAAACAGCACCGCTTCCGCTGCTGAGGACTTCGGCGTCCCAAGTGTCTGGCAAACCAATATCTCCAACGCCGGTTTCCGCGCCTCGCTTCCTCTTCTTGCCTGCCTTTGCGCTGATGGCGGCGCCGCGTGTGCTCTTCTTGGGCCGGGCGCCGTCGATCTCGACGCGCTCTATCCTTGCACCGCCTAGCTGTTTCGCAAAAAGCGCGCGGAGAGAGGATTCATTTGCATCGATGGGCAGGTTGTTGGCGTAAAGCGAGCGCGGCGTGTTCTCATCCGGAACCCTAGGCGCGTGCGGACGCACGTATAGGTAGTGGGTCGTCTGTTGCGGGAACGAAGAAATTCCGGGGACGGTGAGCGGAAGGACGGTGTAGTCGCCAGCCTTGAGGGGAGCTCTTGAGGGCGCCATGTTGTGGGTTGTGTCTTGCTGTGCGAGTTGAAGGTTGGTGTGATGCGCTGCACAGAAATTCTGGCGACGGTCGGCAGAATGTTCACCGCTCGGAGCGACCGTCTTGGCTTATCTCATAAATCAGACCCTCTTGCGGGAGGATGCCAAGCGCCTGAATTGGGTTTAGCATAATACAGCAGATTAGCGCATCGTATATTAGCCAATTAGATCGCATCGTCATCCTCCTCCGCAGGAGGGTTTAAGTATATATAGGCCTAACTTTACGTGTATCCGTTATACCTCTACTAAGAAACGATACCCTCGTCTTTAGTAGTATACTTCTTACTACTAATACTATCGTAAGGCCCTAATAGTATATACGATCGACAGCCTAATTAATTCCCTATAGCTATAGGTGGGCATAGATCCTATCGGGCGGATACTAGCGGAGCTATTAAGCCTCTTAAGTAGCCCTCCTCTAAGCTCGCCCTTCTACTAATATATATCCTCTAACAGGCCTCCCGCTATTAACGATAACCCTAACGACGACGATAATACTCTTTCCGGCCCTAGCCTAGGCCCTAGCGATTCTAAGGACTCGGGAGACGATATAAACGACCCTATATACGTTAACGATACCCCGCTTAGTAGTCGGCGTATAAGAGGTCGATATATATAATATAGTATGCGATAGAGGCTTCGAAAGGTATTTACTATAATACGGGAGGTTGGTATAAGCTTTAAGTACCTCGCTATTATATAGGCTAGTAAAGATATCGACCTATCTTCTTATATAAATATAATACTAGCCCGGCGATAGAAGGAAGTACGTAACACCTTTAGAGATCTAATCGTTTAAGTACTCGTACTATTAACTATTAGCGACTACCGTAAAGAGCTTAATACCCTTATTCGTTATAGTAATTTACGTACCCCCCCTAACCGCTACTACGGTCGTTTTAATTATAGTAAAGACCTTAAGAGTCTTAATATCGAACGTGCTATTAAGAATCTATAAAATATTACTCCTACGTAGTATAGTATACTCTTAAGGGTTATACCTAATTAACGCTTCTATTAACCCAGCTATAATAGTAAACCTTAGATAGTAGCGATTACGAGGTATATATATACTATTACTAGTATAGTCTATTATTCGCGCTAGCGGATTAATTCGAACTTCTTATAGTCCGCGTTAGATACGTATTTAATAAGCTCTAGGACGAAGCGAAGGGTATTATAGACCCTTAGCGGTTTAGATATATACTATAGGTATATATCGGCGAAGAGGTTAATAGAGACTATCGTAGAAGAGGTAAAGATACGTATATATCTCGACTTTCTTATCTACGTTACTAGAGAACCAAACTACTAAGTAACTACTAAGAGGTCTTCTCTTAGTGCTTAGTATATATTATATATACGTTCCGGAGATATTAACTACTAAGTAACTACTAAGTCGTTCTTCCCCCGGGTTGCCTACGGTTATTAGAGATCCTAACTACTAAGTAACTACTAAGTTATAGTTCCCCTAGTTTTACCCGCGTTTGCCGGAGATATCTAACTACTAAGTAACTACTAAGTAGTAGTTCCCCTAGTTTTATCCGCATTTACCGGAGACCCTAACTACTAAGTAACTACTAAGTAAGAATCTTACTAATATTCGTATATATAGGAGTAGATTAAGCGCCACGTAGCGAACCTATATACTATAATATACTACGACAATATTAATTTTAAAAGTATAGTACGGAATAAGCACCTTAGCTATAAGGCGGTTATACGTAATCTTATAACTTCCGCGCTTATTATATATCTAGGAATACCGGAGGACGGCCTACGTTAAGATATATACGATTCTACGATCGAACTCTACTAGAGCGATATAGTAGAGTCGCCTAGTATCTTTAGGTCCGACGTCGATAATATCGATAGTTAGATTATACGCGGTCTTCTAATAGATACTATCGCGAGGGTTTTCCTAAATACCGTTAGAGATATCTTTAAGGATTACTAGTCGCTTCGCCCTTCGATACCGAATATCTATCGTCTAAATATATATAAGACGTTGTATTAGCAGCTTAGCGCGATCTACGAGAACGAAGAAATTATCTAGGATACCTACGGTGTCTACGATAGTATATTTCTATAACACCTTAGACTAAAGAGCCCGACGGATTTCGAGAATCGCCTCTAGCTCGTATATAGCGACTAACTTACGTTATAGTTAATACGAAGTATAAAGAGCTAGTAGTATCGCGCGAAAGAGTATTACGATTAACGTTAATAGCTACTTAGTATTCCTACTTAGTTCTATATTTAGATAAACCTCGTAAACACGCTCGTCCGTACGTACTAGGGTTCTATCGACTATCGCGAAGAGACGGTTTACTATATTAAGTCTAATATTAAGTTATAGGGTCGTAGTTAATACAATCGAGATAACGCTAAGTATTACTAGCTCGAACCTCTTCTTACCTAAAGCTATACGACCCGTATAGTAATATTATTCTATACTACTATATAGTAGCGCGCGTTGCTCGACACTACCGACCTTAGCGATATAGATAGGGTTAAGAGCTCGCTCTCTCGTCTATTACTAAATTAGTTTCTTATCCTTATAGACGACGTTTAAAGCTACTTAAGCACCGAGAATACTTAGAATAGATTAATATACGAGGATATTAGCTTTCGCACCCTTTATCGATTTCTACGTAAAGTGGAATTACTATTAGCTATACGATATACCGTAAAGTACGTAAACGTCGGTCTATTACGATATCTAGTAGATCCGTTAATCGTCTTATTCTTCGGAGCTGCGTAATACAATTACGGGTACGAGATAATATACTATCGGTGGCTCCTTAAACTAGCTATCTCGACACCGGACCTCTAAGCTACTATCCTATTATCCGGCCTTATAAATTAGATTAGTAGACCTAATACCTAGAAGCCTATCGATCTTAGACTAGAGCACCTTAATTACGCATATTATATTAAGATAAAGTACTTTAAGAACTCCACGCATAATAAAGATACGGTCTTTAGTCGAATCTATCTCTTAAACATATAGGCACGTAGCTATAAGGCTATAGTCGAGGCAGCTTTCGGTAAGCATACGAGCGGGAGCTATACTACTATAATAATACGAAACGAGATATTTAGTCTTACCTAAAAGCTATTCCTCGACGGTATAGGCTCGCTACGGTCACCCGAGGACTTAGCGAGTATCCCTCGAATATTCGACTCGAAAGACGTGTTTCTTACGGGTTTTATATAGTTAGAAGAGAAGGTTATTCGGTTTAACTAACTATACGTAGACTAGCCGGGGTCGGCTAGGCTTACGCGACTTATCGGTCTAGACGAAAGTTATATTAACCTAAGGGTAGACGTAGGAAACGAGATTAATATTATCGACGACCCAACTATCAACCCGTATATAGATAACGATATATAGCTCGAACGTAAGTCTTAAGCTATAACTACTAAGTAACTACTAAGATCTATCCGGCTATATATTCTCCGCGTATTATTATACCTAGTCGGGAACTATAACTACTAAGTATCTACTAAGGTCTATTCGACTATATATTCTCCGCGAACTTAGTATATATAGCCGGGGATTATACCTACTAAGTAACTACTAAGCCGTATATTCCCTATAGTATATATCGCGGTACCGGGATCGACAACTACTAAGTAACTACTAAGGTCTAAAGAATAGTATATTCCCTTAAATTATTATAGGTATAAGGGATCTAATACTTCGTAGATTCGTATATCGCGTATATCTAAGGTTATCGGTATATATTATAGAGCATTATATATATAGTCGTAAAGAATTAATTTTAATTTTTCTACTACTATTATTATCGCCACCGCTACTACCGTCTTCGTCGTCGTTATCGTTGTTATCGTCTTCGTCATCGTTATTATTATTATTATTACTACCCCTATTACTACTACTACTACTTCTACCCGTACCGACGCAGCCCGAGCCCGTATAGATTAAACCGCTATGCCCGTCCCGCTAGAGCTAGAACCCGGATCGTCGCCCTTAGGCGGTAGTTTCCGGGTAGGACTATCCGGTTCTTTCGAACTAGGGTGCTTGCGGGTAAACTTACGCGGATTTTTTTTACGTACCGACTTCGAATACGCTCCCCTCTAAGGGGCCGTACGATACCGGGTATAAGTGTCCCTAACCTTAGAGATATAGTTAGGTATATCTTCCGAATATACCTAATACTCTAGATCGCCCTACTAATAGAGCGAGTAGCGGTCCTCCCCGAAGAGCTATCTATCTAACGTAATCTCTATAATACGTCCTATATAGGATATATTCGCCGAGAGATTACGGCTGCTTCCCGCCGAAGCGGAGTAGCCTAATTCCAACTACTACTTCTTAGTAGTAGTCGCTACGTAGGGCGGGGCCGCCCTAGCGGCTCCCGCCGGTAACCTATACGCCACGCGCGGCTGGTTAGTAATAGCTACTAAACTACGCCTTACGTGGTTATAGGCACCGGTAGGTGCTACGCTATAACTATATATTAGCTAAGGTATAAATACTAACTAAAGTATAGACTTACGGAGCGGGCTACGCCGATACACCCTACGACGGAGGAAGAACTAGAGCTACTAAAGTAGCCGAAGTAGCGGACGCCGGAAGGAAAAAGGCGCCGAGAAAGGGGGGGGCCGAGATCGCGCGGGCGGGCCTATATAGTATATTAATTATATTGTCTTAACGTGTGTTATAATATTTACTTACGGGTGCTACTACTATTACTATTACTACTACTATAGTTACTATCTATATCGACTATTAGTATCGTGTCTTATATTAGTCTATATTAAGAAGATCTTACTACTACTCCTATAGCTCCGGCTCCGGGGTAACCCTACCTAGGCCACTAGCGGGCTCCTACTCGGCGCCGTCGTTATCTTAGTTAAATATAACTATAGGTGGGGACACCCTACCGTTCTTCTACTATTACTACTATTACTATTACTACTACTTCTACTAC